AGGACCTAAACTATCTACATGTAGCACTGGACCTAAAATATCAACAGGACCCAAACTATCCACATGCAGCACAGGACCTAAACTATCCACATGCAGCACTGGACCTAAAATATCAACAGGACTTAAACTATCCACATGCAGCACAGGACCTAAAATATCAACAGGACCTAAACTATCCACATGCAGCACAGGACCTAAAATATCAACAGGACCTAAACTATCCACATGCAGCACTGGACCTAAAATATCAACAGGACCTAAACTATCCACATGCAGCACTGGACCTAAAATATCAACAGGACCCAAACTATCCACATGTAGCACCGGACCTAAAATATCAACAGGACCTAAACTATCCACATGCAGCACTGGACCGAAAATATCAACAGGACCTAAACTATCCACATGCAGCACTGGACCCAAAATATCAACAGGACCTAAACTATCCACATGTAGCACTGGACCTAAAATATCCACATGCAGCACTGGACCAAAAGAGTCAACATGTACGATACCGAAGATACCAAGCTGTTCTACAAAATCTAAGATGTGTACGAAAGTGCCCAGTTGCTCAACGGTACCGAGTTGTTCTACTAAATCCAAAACATGTACGATATCCAGAGTGCTTAGTTGCTCGAAGGTATCAAGTTATATTAAGAAATCATCAACCAAATCGTGTAGCGTGCCTTCAATTCCAAGTTGCACCAAGAAATTAACGACTAAAGTCTGCAGTCTTCCAACAATTTCAAGTTGCAGCAGTAAATCAACAAAGCCTGTTCATACTGCGCCGACCATTCCGAGCTGCAGTAAAGCACCTCTGGAGCATCAGCGATGCAATGAATTGATGGCATGCGTTTGTGCATGCACATGCCCCAACTTCACGGGCTGATTTTCAGACATTAATATCCTTGATTCAGAATTTTATTTCATGTAAAAATATAATTTTTTTGTATTGATTAGAACCTTATTTTTTCGATAATTTAGTTCGCTCGTATGTTTTAGTTCCTTTGGAAATGGCTGGCTCTATTTTAATATTTAGATGTTTTATTTAACCAATTTTGAATCATATTTCTCCACCTTTCTTAAAATAATATTTTATTCTAATCAAATAAAAAAACTTTTGAGCATTATAAAAAGTATTTTAATAATCAATTATGTGCTAAGAGATGTTGCGAAATCAGTCATGTTTCATGTTAATGAGACATCGTATTAGTTAATTCTGCTTTCATTTGCAATATGCAATAAATTGCACTTTTTCAAATGTAAAAATTTGTTAGCAGGATAACCCATATTAGAGAAAAGTAAATCCAAATCTTACTTTACTTAAAGTAATAAGTACTCATCCGGACACGAAGCTGAACAGTGCGCGCCTGTATTGGCATTTTAACACAGCATGTTTTGCACTGTTGTTATGGCAAATACATGTGATGTATGTATTGCTTTCGGTGGCGCCACCCTCACTTGAAAAAGAATAAGTAATATGAAAGCAAATTGTGCAAGGGATTTCTTACGGATGGGTAACACATATGTTTACGAACGCAAGCGAACGCGAACCAAAAATTTTTTATACGAATGAACATTTGCAGACTATGGCGAGAATGGACCATTGTAAACCATTGTAACCATGATGGTCTATAATGGTGGATTTAATGACCGTAAACTTCATAAAAAAACAACTTCAAAACATAGATCTAATTTAAAAACTTCAACAACAAGATTTATAAAACTATAAAACACTTTGGTTTAAATAATCGTTGACAATAATCGATTGCATAATACCAGAGACATTTAATGAAAAAGACATTTGATATGATTGATTTTAAATGAGATAATAATAATACCACAACCAAACAATTCATGCGACATATTCATTTGATTCTTCTTGATTGTCTTCGGGGCACAGCTCGCGAGCTGACGAATGTTTTCAATACACACACTTTCATCAATAAATGCATAACGCGCCACCCACTCAAATTCCGACTCAAAAAGAAAGAAAATCGACTTTTTTAAGCAGCAACCCTAAAAAAATTCTCTCGTCATTCTGAACAACTTTTCCATACATCACTTTTTGATCCAATGAGGTTTTGGACAAGTTGGGTACTCTCCCCCACTAATACCCAAGGGGGCAACCCCCCTTTTCACTAAATTATTTCCCCACTCCCAATATATCGTTCCCCATCATTTTCATAACTTGACAAAATACCATTTATAAAAAAAATTGATTTAAAGAGGATGTCGTAAAGTGTAGTTTAGCCAAAAAATCACAAAATTATTACAAATTGAAAGAGTTTACATAGACAATCATTAATTGTTGATGTTATTTCTTGACTTTGAATTGTTCTATAATATTCATCAAACAAAGAGTTTCTTCTTCCATGTTATCCATTTGATAGCCAAGTTCCATTTCACAATTATCACAAAGAATTTTTTTATAAGTCTGATGAAATTAAGGGATTTATGATGTATTCATTTTGTGTATGATTCATCATCAGTATATCAATGTATTTTTCTTCGAAAATGTGATTGAAACAAAATTTACAAACAAAAACCGAGCCAGATGACATCATCTTTATAAAATATCAAATTCGAAGCAACAATAGCAGCTAGTTTGAAATAAAACTGAAGAAACATTTTGTCTGTTGAATGTGAATGTCAATGATAAAAATGAGCCCAAGAATGATTTACTCTGAATCAAATAATTTTGTAAATGTTGTCATCTATAGTTTCAATTTTATCTCATAAACGTTACGCGCTGGTGAGAAAACAGATTTCAATCAATTTGTAATACATTGAAAATGTCAGTATTCCAAATACAATGTATAAAAAGCTTAAAAATATTGATGAATTGCGTAAGACTAAAAACATTTGTTGTTCGTCTGTCATCCCTTCTGAAGCTGGATTGCAAGTAACAGGCGGGCTGAAAAGTTCGTATCGTTTCTAAGAAAGGGCGCTACCATAACAAAATCCATTATGTTTCTGGAAAGTACCATCCTTTCAAGGCATACATACGAAATTTGAGCCATATCCGTCCACTGAGTCAGAAATTATAGCACTTGAAAGAACATAACCTCAAAATACACCTAAATTCTCAATTTTTTTTTCTCAATTTCGGCTTTATTCGAAAGAGGAGTCATTATTTTCAAACTATTTTTCAACCCAGGACGCAGATATAAGTCCCCCCAAGCTAAATTCGAAATAACGAATCGATTTATATCAAAACTAATCAAATGCTGACATCATCTGCATGACTTCCCGAGATGGCTTTTCAC